CAGCAGGTCCACTCAGGAATCCTGATTTGGACAAGGGATGCCAGAGACAGGAAAGCCTCCTGGCTCCTCTCTTGAATATCCTCCAAGACTAGGGAAAACTAGCCAAACGATTTTAAGTTTCTGCTATGAATTTATCTTCTCCAACAATATAAATCTTCCTCTTGTAATGTTTTATCTTGATCCCAGCAAAACTTTGAGAGTAGTTAGGTTCTACGTGTTTACTATTCCTGAGTGAAAAGTGCTATTTTTACTTTGCCCTAAAACTATTTCTTTAGCATGCTAAAGTTGTCGGCAGTTCTTATGCTCTGGGATTTAATAAGTTCATGTTTTTATCCTATGATTTTCATCGTTTTATAATTTTCAGTCATATCCCTCTCTTAGCCTGTGTCTTTCCAGAATCAAGAGCCCTATTTCTTTTATCATTCCTCAAAAAAGAAAAGAAAGAAAGAAAGAGCTCTCTGCCATCTTGATCAAATGAGGTGTCCTTCTCTAGACTTTGTCTGGCTCTATGTGTCTTTGAAGTACATCAGATCATCAGGCCCCCATCACTTTATCTATTATTATGTATAAAAGAGCAGACTGACCTCAGCTAAAAATGTAAAGATATTTGAGAGCCATCTTTAAAAATCAAACAATTCTTTTGCTCAGTGTCAGCTCAGCATATGCTGAAAAAATGTACAATTTTGCTTCAAATCTGAAATGAATTTAAACACACTGGTACAAGGTAACCTTGCTGTGATGGTCCAGACCTAAAATGTCCCCAAAAGCTCATGTGTTGGAAGGCTTGGTCCCCAGTGCAGCAGAGTTCAGAGGTGGGGCCTTTGGAAGGTGAATGGATCATGGGGGTCCAACCTCACTGGTGGATCAATCTGTGGGTGGATTCATAATTTACCATATGGTAGAAACTCAAGATAGGGCCTAGTTTGAGAAAGCAAATCCTTAAGGGCATCCCCTTGAACATTCTTTTCAACTCCTTCCCCTTCCTCTCACTCTCACTTTCTCCATCTCTACTTCTCTGCTTCCTGGATGCCCTGAGATGAGCTGCTTTGCTCTACCATGTGGTCCCTGCCATGATGTCCTGCCTCACCACAGGCCCAGAGACAATGAAGCCAAAGTGACCATGGACTGAAACCCCTGAAACTGTGAGCAAAAATAAATACGTTAGGGGGCTGGGGTTGTGGCTCAGTTATAGAAGGCTTGCCTCGCATGCATGGGGCACTGGGTTTGATCCTCAGCATCACACAAATAAATAAAATAAAGGCATTGTGTCCATCCATCTAGAACAAAAAATTTAAAAAAATAAATGCTTTCCTTTTAAGATGATTTCTTTCAGGTGTTTTTTCACAGCAGTAAAAAAAAACTGACTAATGCATTTGTAATCCTTTATGAAATGACAACTTGCAAAGCACTTTCATGTACATCATCTCATCCACCCCTCATGAACCATGCAAGGCAGAAAGAAAAAAAAATTATATTACAGCTCATATGAAAAAAATAAATAAAAAGGTGAATGTAGTCCAAGGTCAAAGAGCTGGAATTAGAGCCAGGTCCCTGGTCCCCGATGATAGCTTAGCCACAGTGTGATGCATCCTTTCTTTTAATCACTTGTTACTTACTTTAAATCCCCAAACTTCCCCCTCTATACGTCTCTTTCAGCGTAGCCATGAAATAGTTGGCAGCTCTACTGAAAAGAGCAGATCATGACTGATCTACACCCTCTTCCTTTCTTACTCCACAAACTCTCAGCCACACCAAGGACATCAATATCACCGTGCAGATGACTCCCAAATAGGCAGCTCTAGGCACACCTCTCTCCTGAACACCAAGAGGATAGATCTTCCTTAACCTCCCCAAATTAAGACAACCCCCATTACCTCAAAACTTAAGTAAAAATGTACAAAACTTAAATCTTCTTCGTCATGATACTCTCTGCTGCCGAAACCCAATTCTCTTTTGCTATTTGTCCTCTCAGACACATCCAGGAAGAGTCATGTGGACACTTTCCTCGCCCCCTCCTCCTTGCCCTATCCCTAGTCTAACCTCAGGGCCCTTCATTCATCTCCTACATGGTTCTCCTTTCCGTCCACTTCTATCCTTTCCCATGACCACCATCAAAGTCCAAGCTCTGAAGATCTCTCATTGGACCTAAATGGATTCTTCATTGGTCTGCTCCTCTTCAATCCCTTTTCCCCACTATAGCTGGAGGGATTCTTCAAGAGATGGTCCTCAGAGAGAACTTCCTTGACCTCCACCCCCAAATTAAGACCCCCCATTATGATTTACCTTATTCCAGTTTAGCCTGGTTTTGTGTGATTGATTAACGTCTGTCTCTCCAACTAAATTTATACCTTCTGCTCACTATGTACCCCTATGCTGGGCTGAGTTTGACACATAAGTGTGTGCTTAGGTGAATAAGCCATAGGTAAGGATAGGATTACATACACTGTACATCCTCACTATGGAATACCAAGCAGGAGTTAAACAGACTGAGGTTGCTCTATATTTACTAACATCAATGACATCCATGATATATTATTGATCAAAAACAGCACATTAGGGCCAAAGATATAGCTCAGTGATAGAAAGTATGCTTAAATAAAAAGCCAGCGCGTTGTAGAACAGTGTGTACTATTTTTAAATCTATATAAAAACACATAGATCTTGATTTTAAAAAGAACCTCTATGGGGCTGGGGCCCAGTGGTAGAGCACTTGCCTAGCATGTGTTAGGCACTGGGTTCGATCCTCAGCACGTGTAAAAAATAAATAAAAGTATTATGTTCACCTACAACTAAAAAGATATTTTAAAAAAAAGAAAGAACCTCTGTGTGTAAAGTATGTATATGTATCAAAAGGCTTGCAAGACTAATACCAAACTGTTTACAGTGATTGCCTTGGAGAATGGGAATGAGAAAGGGTAGGGAAAACCAGGGTCCCGATTTGTACTCATCAACCTCTGGGTGGCTTGACTTTCTTCAGTGACTATGTAATATTATTGTCATTAAAATAAGGTTTTTAAAATAATGCTACAATTCACAAAAGCTCAGGAACCTGTCCACTTCTAAGAGCAGTTAACCAAAAGAGGGGGACCACATTTGTTTGAATTGCTCAACAATGATAAAGTTCCAGAAACCAGCGTCTGGCCGGCTCAGATTTCTGATTCAGCAATCAGCCCTGCTGATGAAGCACACAGCCGGAAATGCCAGGGTTGATTCAATTAGGCCTCGGCCTCGGGTGACTTTCGTAAACAAAACAGATTGTGAAAAATCACTGCTCTTTGATTCCCTTTTACCATCTCAGAAGGAAAAATAAGGAAATGGAATGACAACATGGGATTTTCCTGGTTTTCTCGTATTTTGGTGGTGGCTGTTAGGTGCAGGTGAGAGTGGGAAGGCCTCCCTATTTCCCTTCTCTGGCCAAATATCAAAGCTTTTATTGTCTCCACTGTAGCTCAAGATGGCTTTCTAAACTCGGAGATTTCAGAGGAAGGAGAGGACGGAACGTGCTGCCGAGGTGCAGATAGGCTCCCTCTGGTTGCCCAGAGAAGCAGGTGCAGTGGATGGGCCCACGGGTTCTGAAAAAGGCAAGGCAGGTGTGTGGGTGGGAGCCGGCAGCCAGCCTACCAGGAGGCTGGGGAAGTCTGTGAATTCAGAATAAATACTGTCACTGGGCGCCGCATTGATTCTTTTTTCAGACTAATAGCTCAGATGGTAGAGCCACCCAACAATGACTAAAATATGAGTCAAATGCCTTCAAATCAAACCATCCCATGAGACAGGAAGACAGGCGAGCCGAGAACCCGTCATGAGGGTTCTGGCCAGTGCTTGTTACCCCTGAAGAATTCACTCTCCTTCATGCCTGCCTCTTTTGATCTGAGTCATTCTGACACCAGTGAGCTGGGGACGTTCTATCTTTATTGCCTGTGACACCAGGGATCAGCTCAGCGCAGTGAAAAGGGGGGCCGCTGCCGGCCGGGCCCCCCAGAGCTCTCCCCAGTCCTGTTTGTCTTCCTTCTCTCCCAGGGTCCACCCCCATGTCTTCCTGGATGCCAGAGGGAGTTCCAAAATCACCCTCCAGTGGAGTTTCTTGAGATCTTTAAAAACCAACCTTCATTTAAATATAAAAAGAGTCCCATGAAGATGAAGTGGGGCTGGGAGAAGGCACAGGAGGAGAGTGGAATCACTCAAGGAGGGAGCAGGAGGAGAGTGGAGGGCAGGAGGGGGCAGGAGGGGGCAGCCAGTGCCCTGAGCCTCTGGGAAGCACCCCACGGAAGGACCACGTGGGCCCACGAGAGACAAGGGTTCCCCTGCCGTTTCCCCCTCCTCCTCCTGCAGTCGTCCAGATTTCAAATTCTTTCCCCAAATGTTCACCCTTATTTTGATTCTATTTAAAAAAAAAAAAAATCTCTTGGTAACAAGATCCTGAGAAGACAGGTGTTTTTAAATGGTCTGAGGCAAAAACTCACCACGTCCTCAAAAGTCCCCACAGGTCCCCACAGGGCTGCTGTGAGTGCCGCCTGTTTTGACCCCACCAGCTCCCTCCTCACCATCCTCACTCACGCAGTGGGAGGAACAGAGGGGCTCCTCAACTCACGCACCCATCCTTACTTGAAGCGTGGTCCAAGACCTAGGGATCATCAACCCAGCAGTGTGGCCATGGCTGCCCGCAGGGGGAAGGGGCCGCCTGGGACCTGGGACCAGCTGCCAGGCCCAGCATCACAAGGCAGCATCCCAGTGCTAGAGAGGGAGAAAGCCAAAATTCAAAGGCTTTCACCCCGCCATAAAGTGGGAACATCCAGGTCCGACCACCAAGGGCCCTCTGAGCACCCAGCAGGGTACAGGACCTCTCCCCGCAGACCAGGACATGGCCCAGACGGCAGCTTCCTGAACTCAGCACTCCGCACACACTCTGTCTTTCTGGAATCAATTCACTGGGAAGTCAGGGTAACATGTTCTCTTTTTAAACTTTTTAATATGATAAGACATAAAAATGGTTCAACTCGTTAATTTTACATTATTTATTTTAACCTTTTTTTTTCCATTTTAAGCATTTTTACATGTATAGTTCCCCGGCACTGAGTGCATTCCCACTGTCATGCCACCGTCACCACCATCAACCTCCAAAACCTCTTCCCCTTCCCACTCCAAAACTATATCCATTCAGTAACTCCCCATTTTTCCCCTCCTACTGGCAACCACCGTTTTACTTCCTGTCTGCCAAACTGACTCCACTAGGTTCTCATATAAGTGGAATCACAGAGTATTTGTCTATTTATTTCTGGCTTATTTCACATGTAACATTCTCAAGATTCATCTACGTGGTAGCAAGTATCCAAGTCTTGTTCTTTTTTAAGGCTGAATAATATTCCACAGTATGTCCATACTATATTTTACTTATCCATTCACCAACTGATGGACATTTGGGTTGTCTCCAGAGCAACATGTTTTTAATTTAATCCTATGATTTAAGAGCTTCAGGTCATTCAAATTCAGTTCAAAGTATTTCACATTTACCCAGGTTCAGTCATTATGGGAGATGGTGCGAGAAGTCAAAAAAAAAAAAGTGAATCAGACATGATACTTGTTCTCAAGGAGCTTACAATTTACTGGGAAAGGAGGAAAGAAAGAAATTAAGTAATCTGCTGATTATTTTCATTTTGCTAATCCCTTACTACCTACCAGGTGCACTCCCCTATCCCTGCCGGTGTTGCCCACAGTAGCTCTGGGAGGTAGACATTGTATGGAATAGCCCCTCTGCACTGAGAAAAATGAATGTAATACCTCCACAGTGGATTCAGACCCGCTTCTTGGCCCTTACCCAGGCCACACCCTATGACAGTCAGGATGTAACAGGATCCTGCAGGAGAAGCTACTGGAAGGCAGCAGAGGAAGAGGAAAGGGGCACAGGAGGCCTCAGGGGTCAGGGATCAGGACGGCCAGTGTTTGACAGAGTGAAGGAGAGAAGGGGCAAGATCAGGGACTGAGGAACTACAGACATGGGCTGGAAAACAGAGACGGCAAAATCACGGCCATAGTCCAATGCTGGTTCCAGGGCTCTGAACTGCACCGTGCAAGCCACAGTGAGCCACTGCAGGTTTCCTGAGGCAAGACGTAGAACCATGCATCAGGAAGACCACCATGGAGCAATGCATGACGCAGACGCAGAGGACAGGGTAGTTCAAAGGTAGGAAGCCAGTGAGAAGACTGAGGAAACAGCAGAGGAGTCGATTAGGACGGAAGGGAGGATCTGGAGGTGAGAGAGACCGCAGAGTGGGAATGCAGGACCAGCAGCGAGCACGTTTTGTACAGGGTGACCCTCCATCCTGCTGCCCAGGACGCCTTTTTCTGGTGCAATTACTAACAGCACCCTTCTACTCTCAGAAAGGTCCAAGTTTGGACAATACCCTCCATGGTCACATTAATTATGAGCAATAAGAAGCCATAACCACAGGCGACTTCGGATTTTAAACCTGGATTACTAAGAAAGGTGGTAACACCTTTAGAAACACAGGAGGAAATCAGGTTTTGGGGAAAGAATGCGAGTTTGGGTTTGGACATGCTGAATTTGCTGCAGAAGTAAGGATTTATTTAAGAGAAAGAAGAACCTTGCCCGTGGATTTGCGCTGTATCACGTGAAGGAAGGCATCATTGACCTAAAAATAAAACAAAAACTTGGTCAGACTTGCACATATGCATACTGCAACAAATGTCTCCTGATGGATTAAGTCCAAAACGGCTGAAGTATTCAGATGTGTCTCCAATAAACTATTCAGTGCTAAATAAATAATAATAATCACCATAAATACAAAGGATAATAATAATATCTATGAAAAACCTACCCTTGGTATCTCTCTCTATCATATTCTTTGGGGTTTGTTGTTTATTTCATTTTGCTTGTTTTTTTGGTACTGGGGATTGAACCCAGGGGCCCTTAACCACTGAGCCACATCCCTAGACCTTTTTTTATTTTTGTACTTTGAGACAGGGTCTCACTGAGTTGCTTAGAGACTTGCTAAGTTGCTGAGGCTGGCTTTGAACTTGCGACCCTCCTGCCTCAGCCTCCTAAGCCTTTGGGATTACAGGCACGCTCCATGGCCCCCAGCTCCCTATCATTTTCAGTGATGTCAGATAAGTGTTGGCAGATAAAGAGTCCACAGGCCAGCCCCCACTCACTGTGACAGCTCCATCCCAGCTGCCCCACTTCAGAAGTGTTCCAGCTTTTGAAAGAATGAAACCTCTGGCAGAAGAATAAAAACTATAATGTTTGGTGATTTTTTTTCTCTTTTATTAAAAGTGTCCTATTTCTTATGTAACTGAGATTAAAATCAACTGCGAATTTTTTTTTCCTCAAAAATGCAAGGTTATAAAACAAATTAAAAAGCAGTTACAGTGATCAAGACAGTGTGATACTGGTGAAAAGAATACAAAAATAAATTAATGGAACAGAAGAGACATCCCCAAAATAGGCCTGCACAAGTATAGTCAACTGATCTTTGACAGGAGTAAAAAAAAAAAACTTAATGGGGAAAGCATAGTCTTTCAAAATATAGCGCTGGAAAAACTGTATACTATACACACATGCAAAAAAAAAATTTTTTTAAATCTAGATACAGGCCTTATAGCCCTCCCAAAAATTACCTGGAAATGGATCAGAGACCTAAATTAAATGCAAAATTATAAAAATTTCCAGGAAAAAAAACAGAAAAAAAATTTAGGTCACCTTTGGCTCAGCAATAAGGTTTTGGATATAGCACCAAAAGCACAATACATGGCAGGGGAAGCGGGGATTTGGTAAATGGAATTTACAAACAAGGTCTCGACAGGGAGAAAAACTTTGCAAAAGACATATCTAACAAAGGATTTGTGTCTAAAATATACAGAGAATTCTTAAAATGCAAAAACAATACAATGAAACAAAAGGCAAAGATCTGAACAGACACCTCACCAAAGAAGACAGACAGATGGCAAATAAGCATATAAAAAGACGCTCAATGTAATACATCACTAGGGAATGGGAAATAAAACAGCAATGAGAGGCCACTGCCCTCCTATCAGAAGAGCTAAGATTCAAAACACTAACACCAAATGGTGGCGAGTATGTGGAGCAACAGGAGCACTCATTCACTGCTAGTGGGCATACAAGGTGGTACAACCACTTTGGAAGACAGCAGGCAATTTCCTACAAAACTGAGGATACCTTGAACCGTGCAATCCAGCCATCACACTCCTAGGTATTTACCCACAGGAATTGAAAACTTAGGTCCACACAAAAACATGTACCTGAATGTTACAGCAATTACCAATTGCCAAAACCTGGGGGTGGGAGACAAAATGTCTTTCAGTAGGTGGATGGAAAAGCAAACTCGTGTATCTATGCAATGGACTCATTCAGTAACAAGGAGAAGTGAACTATCAAAACACAAAATGACACGAAAAACACTGCTAAGTGAGAGATTGACTTCTTTCATTTAGCAATCTGCATGCAATCTGAAAAGGCTACATTTCATATGATTCCAACCATATGACATTTAGGAGAAAGCAAAACTGTGGAGGCACTAAAAACATCAGTGATTGACAGATCCAGGAGTGGAGATAAGGATGAACATATGGAGCTCAAGGGATCTCAGTGCAGTGAAGATATTCTGTGATATGTAATACTGGATACAGGACGTTATACATTTGGCAAAACCCACAGAAATGTACAAAGAGTGAACTCTAATGCAAACTATGGACTTTATTTAATACCATTAATGTATCAATATTGATTCATCGGTTACAACAAATGAATAATACCAGTGTAAAGTTCTCATAAGAGTGGAATCTTAGGGCATGGAAGAGGGAGTACATGAGAACTCTCAATACTCTTGATTTTTTCTTAAAACTGCTCAAAAAAGTCTACTCATTTTTTCAATAAAATAAATGATAAATGCAAAAAATGAAATTTATAAAAGAATAGAATATATAAAAGTATCATTATTTGCAAATAATGAAAATATAATTTCAGTTATGTAGGAATCAGAAAAGTTTTAATAAAAATCATAAAAAGTAGTATCATTATCAGGGCTGGGTTTGTGGCTCAGTGGTAGAGCGCTTGCCTCGCACATGCGAGACCCTGGGTTCAATCCTCAGCACCACATAAAAATAAACAAGTGAAATAAAGGTGTTATGTCCAACTACAACTAAATAAAATAAAATAAATATATAAAAAATAGTATCATTATCTATACAGAAAAGCTGTATAGAAAGGTCATCAAAACTATGAAATACAAAATTAGTTTATACGAAAAAATTCTTTCGCAGCAAAGGAAACAATCAAGAGTGTGAAGAGAGAGCTTACAGAATGGGAGAAAATCTTTACCACCTGCACCTCAAAACATTAATCTACAGGATATATACAGAACTCAAAACTTCACAGTCCAAAAACCAAAACCTAAAAACCCAATAAATAAATGGGCAAAGGAACTGAACAGGCACTTCCCAGAAGAAGAAATATGAATAGTTAATAAATATATGAAAAAATGTTCAACATCTCTAGCAATTAGAGAAATGCAAATTAAAACTCACTCAAGTCAGAATGGCAATTATCAAGAATACAAGTAACAATAAATGTCGGTGAGGATGTGGGGAAAAGACACTCATATTGCTGGTAGGACTACAAATCCATGCAACCACTCTGAAAAGCAGTATGGAGGTTCCTCTTAAAACTTGGACTGGAACCCCCATTTGACCCAGCTATCCCACTCCTCAGCATTTACCCAAAGAACTTAAAATCAGAATACTATAGTGGCACAGCACATCAATGTTTCTAGCAGCTCACTTCACAATATCTAAGCTATGGAACCAATCCATAAACCCTTCAACAAATGAATGGATAAAGAAAATGTGAAACACACACACACACACAACGGAATATGACTTAGTCATAAAGACAATGGAGCTATGCATTTGCTGATAAATGGCTGGAACTGTAGACTATCATGCTAAGTGAAATAAGCCAATAGCCAAAAACCAAAAGCCAAATGTACTCTCTGATATGCAGATGCTAACACCCAATAAGCGGGTGGGAGGGAAGAATAGAAGTACTTTGGATTAGACAATAATGTAATGAAGGGAATGGAGGGGAGATGGGAAGAGGAAAGACAGAATGAATCAGACCTCACTTTCCTTTGTTAGTACCAGTTTAACTCCACATCACGTACAACAACAAGAATGGGAACTTACACTCCATGTATGTATGATATGTCCAAATACATTCTACTTCTTGTATAACCAAAAAGAATTTAAACATTTTAAAAAATAGTTTATAAAAATTAATGACATTTCTCTATGTCAAAAACAATCAACTTAGAAATATAATAAGTAAAATATTGTTCTCAAAAGCAACAAAAACAAAATATTTGTAATAGATATAAAGAATAATAAAATCAAAACCTTATAGAGAAAAACTTTAAACCCATTAAGAGACATGAAAGATCTTAATAAATGGTGATTTATCCCTGTTGAAAGATGGGAGAAGTAAAAAAATATTAATTTCCTGTAAATGAGTATAAAAATAAATCAATAGTTTCATTCAAGATTTCAGTTAGAGTTGTTCAAGAAGCTAAACAGATTTACTGAAAATTCATTTAAAAAGACAAAGCTCCCCAAATAAGTCAAATTTGAAAGGAAAGAACAAAAGTATAAGAGTTACTCTTCCATATAACTTGGAATTTGCAATAAGACAAAGCATCACACATCAATGGAAAAACAGTGGGCTATTTGATACTGGGGAAAACGGCTTGCTATAAAGAAGAAAATTAAAATTAGGCTGGGGCTATAGCTCAGTTGGTAGAGTGCTTGCCTTGCATGCACAAGGCCCTGGGTTCGATCCCCAGCACCAAAAAAAGTAATAATAATAATAATCAATCTACCTGATGTACACCCAATGCAAAGGAGACTTCAGAAGCATTAAATCCTTAAGTGTGATATACAATTATGAAGGTAGCCAGGTGTGGCAATCAGTACCTAGAGTCCCATCTACTTGGAGGGTAAGGCAAGAGTATCCTTTGAATCCAGGAGCTCAAGGTCAGCCTAAGCAACATAGCAAGACCCTCATCTCACAAAAAAAAAAAAAAAAAAAAAGAACCTACAAAGTTAGTAAAGAAGAAAGAAGAAAATCATTGTGACTCAGGGATAATGAAGGACTTCTGGAAAAGTCTCCAATAGCATAACCACACAGCAAAATGCTGGCATAAATACTTTTAACTCTAGACAAAAGTGGCAATAGTGTGACAAACTTAGAAGTGTTTTGCAAAGCCTCAAACTAACATCTAGAACTGGCTACTCAAAGGACCATCAGCTTTTGCACAATCTGGGGACTTATTAGATGTGTGGGATCTTTAGCTCCATCCAACCCTGACTGAATCACAATCAGAATCCTAATAAGATCCCCAGGTGATTTCCATGCATATCAGAGTTTGAGAAGCACAATTTACTCAAGGAACTTCTGAAAGTTACTAATAAACAGCTGAAACTCCCAAACAGAAAACTCCATGAGGAGACTAAATTGCAACTCAAAGCATGGAAAACTGAATGGCTAATATACCAGGGATTAAATCCAGGGTTTCACACACACTAGGCAGATGCTCTACTGCTAAGCTACATCCCCAGCCAG